GTCCTGAGCCTTTTGGACTTGACAAATGTTGATTTCGTAGCACTTAAAAACCTAGGACATCCTTTGGTCCTTTGACATGCTTTCTGTTTCTGGTTGTGGCTTTTGGCTCAGGTGCTCACTGTGAGGGAGACCGAAATCAAGGTCATCCAGGGACCATCCATCTGGCAGCACAGCTGGGTTGTGACACCTTTGTTGCAACAACGCCTTGCATTCCCAACACTGGTATTGTCGTGCGGACCGTGTTCAACCGCAAAGGCAATCAGGGTATCTATTCAATGTGCTTGGGATCACGTTGAAAAAAACACGCCACAAGTGACAATTTCTGATCCAAGCAAGGTGAAACTATGAACATTCAAGACATTGCTTTAACAAAGGATGTTTAAACGCTTTTGACATTTTTGACCTCCACACTTAAGCATGTCTGAGAATTCTGGTGAGGCAAAAGAAACTACAGCCCACCGTCTGGAAACCCGCATTTTTCCATGAAGATCCATGAAGAACATGTCTTCAAGCATTTGAGAGTCTGAGAAACCACACACACAAACACACATCCCGGAACCACACGCGCGCATCGGGCTTGGTGAAGGCATGCCGGGCTGACAAAATTTGCAACATTTCGCCGGAACTTGGCCTCCAAAAGCTAATTCCAGCCGTCAAAACAACAGTTGGCCAGTCGTTGGATTGGCTGTTGGATTGTGTGGAACATGGAAGCACAAAGTGTCGCCACAAAAAAGGCTCCCTGTTTTCTCGCAGTCCTTTGTCCGGCTACAATTGCTTCGTCTGGAGAGTTCATGTCGTTGCCTTCTGCTTCTTCTTGTCAGCTTCGCGCCGCTTTGCGGCATTTTCCTCCTCAGGACATCCCGTTCATTAGGATTTGGTGTTAAAAGGCTGAAAGTTGGCACGCGATTTTGGGCTTTCATCCAGCTCTTACCAGGGAGGCAGCTCGAAGAGCTGATATGAGCAAGGTGGATATCTCCAGGTGGTCAGCAAATGTATGCACCGAAACGGACATGCAGCGAAAAAGGACTGCAAACACCTCCAGTCATTACCCGAACCGGACTGCTGGAAGTAAGGACGCGTCCATCTTTTTCTGCAACAGTTCCATGCTCTCATCAGCGGACATTCTTCGCCTCAAAAAATAATACAGCCTGATGTATACTATTATGTGCACTATTGTGTTGTGTAAGCAGCTTGACAACTGACAGCCTCGAAGGTGTTTGGGCAGGTCGAGCAGGTCCTGAATAGAGCTTCTTGCTACTAGTAGTAATGGCCTCCAACCTATTAGCGATGGCCTACAACCAAGCAGTAGTAATGGCCTCCAAACTGATAGCCATGGCCTCCAACCTAGTAGCTTCTTGTTACCGGTAGTAATGCCCTCCAACCTAGTAGCTTCTTGCTACTAGTAGTATTGGCCTCCAACCTATTAGGGATGGCCTCCAACCTAGTAGCTTCTTGCTACCAGTAGGTGATGGCCTCCAACCTGTTAGCGGTGGCCTCCAACCTAGTAGCTTCTTGCTACTAGTAGAATGGCCTCCAACCTATTAGAGATGGCCTCCAACCTAGTAGCTTCTTGCTACTAGTAGTAATGGCCTCCAACCTGTTAGCGATGGCCTCCAACCTAGTAGCTTCTTGCTACTAGTAGTATTGGCCTCCAACCTATTAGCGATGGCCTCCAACCTACTAGCTTCTTGCTACTAGTAGTAATGGCCTCCAACCGATTAGCAATGGCCTTCAACCTAGGAGCTTCTTGCTACTAGTAGTATTGGCCTCCAACCTATCAGCGATGGCCTCCAACCTAGTAGCTTCTTGCTACTAGTAGTAAAGGCCTCACGCCTATTAGTGATGGCCTCCAACCTAGTAGCTTCTTGCTACTAGTAGTAAAGGCGTCCAACCTATTAGCGATGGCCTCCAACCTAGTAGCTTCTTGCAGCTAGTAGTAATGGCCTCCGACCAAATAGCGATGGCCTCCAACCTAGTAGCTTCTTGCTACTAGTAGCAATGGCCTCCAACCTTAGCGATGGCATCCAACCTAGTAGCTTCTTGCTACTAGTAGTAATGGCCTCCAACCTCTTGGCGACGGCCTCGGGCCTCCAACCTAGTAGCTTCTTGCTACTAGTAGTAATGGCCTCCAACCTATTGGCGATGGCCTCCGGGCCTCCAACCTAGTAGCGTCTTGCTACTAGTAGTATGGGTTAGCGATGGCCTCCAACCTAGTAGCTTCTTGCTACTAGTAGCAATGGCCTCCAACCTCTTAGCGATGGCCTCCAACCTAGTAGCTTCTTGCTACTAGTAGTAATGGCCTCCAACCTATTAGCGATGGCCTCCAAGCTAGTAGCTTCTTGCTACTAGTAGTAATGGCCTCCAACCTGTTAGCGATGGCCTCCAACCTAGTCGGCCTCCAACCTATAGTGATGTCCTCCAAGCTAGTAGCTTCTTGCTACTAGTAGTAATGGCCTCCAACCTGTTAGCGATGGCCTCCAACCGAGTAGCTTCCTGCTACTAGTAGTAGTGGCCTCCAACCTAGTAGCTTCTTGCTACTAGTAGTAATGGCCTCCAACAAATTAGCGATGGCCTCTATACCTAGTAGCTTCTTGCTACTAGCAGTAATGGCCTCCAACCTATTAGCGATGGCCTCCAACCTAGTAGTTCTTGCTACTAGTAGTATTGGCCTCCAACCTTTTAGCGATGGCCTCCAACCTAGTAGCTTCTTGCTACTAGTAGTAATGGCCAACCTATCAGCGATGGCCTCCAACCTAGTAGCTTCTTGCGACTAGTGGTAATGGCCTCCAACTTATTTGCGATGGCCTCCAACCTAGTAGCTTCTTGCTACTACAGTAGTAGTATTGGCATCCAACCTGTTAGCGATGGCCTCCAACCTAGTAGCTTCTTGCTACTAGTAGTAAAGGCCTCCAACCTATTAGCGATGGCCTCCAACCTAGCAGCATCTTGCTAGTAGTAGTAATGGCCTCCAACCTGATACCGATGGCCTCCAACCTAGTAGCTTCTTGCTACTAGTAGTAATGGCCTCCAACCTAATAGCGATGGCCTCCAACCTATGGGTTCTTGCTACTAGTAGTATTGGCCTCCAACCTATCAGCGATGGCCTCCAACCTAGTAGCTTGTTGCTACTAGTAGTGATGGCCTCCAACCTATTAGCGATGGCCTCCAACCTAGTAGCTTCTCGCTGCCAGCAGTAGTGGCCTCCAACCTATTTGCGACCTAGTAGCTTCTTGCTACTAGCAGTAAAGGCCTCCAACCTATTAGCGATGGCCTCCAACCTAGTAGCTTCCTGCTACTAGTAGTAAAGGCCTCCAACCTATTAGCGATGGCCTCCAACCTAGTAGCTTCCTGCTACTAGCAGTAAAG